TTATGATGCGTTTCACTGTGTTACAAAACAGGAAGTACTCCTGAAAGTTTATTTTCAGCATAGCTAACTGAATAAACTGCTGTTTATCTAGTTAGCAGGTAAACAGCAGGTTAGCTAGCTAGCTAACTTGACCTGAATGTAGCTTCCCACTTTCAGGACAGTAAATCCACATCTTTTTGGCATTATTGTCTCAGGATGAGAGAAGGTTGTCACCAAAAGCCCCAATATCAATCAATAAATCAATCAGTTTATTTGTATGTCACATTTCAACAATAAGGCAGTTCAAAGTGCTTTACATCGTGAAAACATAGAAACATCATAAACACATCAAATAGTCAACGCTTAATGAAGACCAACTATGTTGGTCAATGTTTCATTTATTATGGTTCATGAGCAACTCTAAAGAGATGGGGCCTTGATTTAAATGAACTGTTTCAGCTGTTTTGCAGTTTTCTGGAAGTTTTTTTTTTTTTTTCCCAGATCTGAGGCGCATAGAAGCTGAATGCTGGTTTGGTTCTGACGGATGTTTGACAGAGTGTCCTCAGGCTGTGATGCTCATTTCGACTCATCTAAACATATTTTTCATCGTTGTGACCAGTTAGTTCTAGTGGGTTAAAACATAACGGACGGCTGTTCCAGCAGTGTAATTCCAGTCACATATAAAACTGGGTTTGGATTAGATCAAGGAGAGCAACATTAAGGTCGTGATTTAAACCCTATTGAAAATACTTAGAAGCCATGTTTAGGGAAGGAATCACATTAACTCTGCCGATTCTGGTAAGAAGAGTAGTCAAATAACATAGTTAGCTATAAGAGTTTTAAAGAAAGGAATTTAAATCTAAATACAGAAATAAAATTTAAACAAGCAGCCAACAAAATAGAGAAATGAACGAAAGGCAAGGTCTAAAACGATAAAGAATAAAGACAAGGGAATCTTAAAGATATTACAGAAAACTCATACTTGTTAAGAAAAAAACTCTGGAAAAAAAAATCTGGAATTTAACTTCACAAATCAGCAGGCACTGCCCGTCACCTAGCAGCCCCAGAGAAGTCCAGCCTGTCACCTAGCAACCCAAGCTGAGTTCCAGCATGTTTGGTCAGCTGATTTTACCGCTGCTGGAAAAGACAAGCGTTTTGTTGACTCACCATCCAGAAACCATTTGCTGCATTCTTGTTGGTTGTGCAGGAGGCTCTACTTCTGCTTTTCAAAGATGTACAGTTGTATAATTGTGCATCAGTTTGCAGCTATTTTCACGTGGAAGTGTAAATGTTGAGTTGGGGAGGGGCAGAAGGATGGCGTGACCAGCAACAGATTATTTAAAGTGACCACACAGCTCAGCTCATTCTGAAAGGAGCTCAAGCCAGGCAGAACTGAGCAGACTGAAATTTCTTCATCTTAGAATAGCGGTTCTCAACGTGGGCGGTACCGCCC